ATACAAAAGTATATTTTCAATATATGGTACAATACAAAATAGAGAAATATGCCTTTAAGCAGGATGATAACACACACCTGCTTCCACATAAAAAAATAAGACTCATCACATAACTTGCCCACATGTAAACCCAAATGAAAATAGAAATGGACATGTCATAGATTTCTATCACCATCTTATACAGTGGCACAATACCCGTGTGAAAACCACGATACTAAAGCTTATTTTGAACGTCGAAAAGCAATTCCTTTGTATAGGGTAACCCTTGCTATAGCATCTGCTTCGTATTTCTAATCCTTATCCCTTTCTCCCTTTTCTTTTGCCCCTGTTCTTTGTTTTTTACTGTTTATATACTTGAATTTTTATCTTATAGAAAAGAAAATCATCGAATTGGAATTAAAAAATAATAATAGTGATGATAACACTTTACAATCTAACCTTTAAGCATAAAATCCTTGACTTACGAACGTACATTTAACAATAACACAGATGCAAGGGCTATTTTCCCATACAGAAGGCAGTGCTTTTGACCCTTAATAGTATCCAGCCATCATGGTGGTCGGGTTGTTGCTGGAGGCGCCCCCGCAGTTACCCTGGACCGTCTCGGTGCGAGTGACGGTCTGGGTGACGTACTGGGGGATTCTCTGGGTCTGGGTCTGGGTGACGTACTGGGGCACCTGCTGGGTCTGGGTGACGACGTTGTTCTGGATGTGGGTGACGGTCTGGGTGATGTACTGGGGCACGCGCTGGGTCTGGGTTTGGGTGATGTACTGGGGCACCTGCTGGGTCTGGGTGACCACGTTGTTCTGGACCCTGGTGGAGGTGACGGTCTGGGTGAGGAAGCGGGTCTCGACCTGCGTCTGGGTCTGGGTGACGAAGTTGTTCTGGAGACGGGTGCTGGTGACGGTCTGGGTGATCACCTGGTTCTGCACGCGGGTGGAGGTGACGGTCTGGGTGCGGACCTGGGTCTGGACTTGGGTCTGGGTTTGGGTGATGAACTCGGGAACCCTCTGGGTCTGGGTCTGGGTGATGTACTCGGGGACGCGCTCGGTCTGGGTGATGTACTGGAGTTGGGTGCTGGTGCGGGTTTCGGTCTGGAACTGGGAAAGGAAAAAATCATTTATATATCTCACTTACACTCTTTCTCACACACACTATCTCTCTCGACCTAAATTAAGTGTTTATTTTCGCATAACATCCTAATGTTCATCTTTACAAAACTCTCAAGTATGATTATCTTAAAAAAACACTGCATTTGGAATCAGATATTTACACTCCTAAACACTAAAAAAATATATCAAACGGCAAGTGTTCTTACCCGTGTTTGGAACTCAGTCTGGAACTGGGTCTGAGTGCGGACTTGGGTCTGGGTCTGGTATTGGGTCTGGAACTGGGTCTGGGTCTCGGTGATGTACTGGATCTGGGTGTCGGTGACGTAGGAGGTCTGGGTGAAGTACTGGGCACGGGTGACGTACTGGACGTTGTTCACGACCTGTGAGGAAAGGAGGAAATAAAAAATGAACCTTAATCTCAACGAGGAAAAGAAATCAAGCAAAGAAATTTAGAAGAAAAACACGGTAATACAAAATGAACCTTAATCCCCACGAAAAAAAAGCAAAGAAATGTAGAAGAAAAAACATGGTAAAAGCTATGAATATAACAACCAACTACCAAACAGCCATAGCAGGCAGTCGACAAGGAGCCGCCACTCACCTCAGTGGACGTCTGGATCACTGGAGGAACAACCGAGGTTATGACTTGCTGTGTGACGACGGTGGATGGGAAGTACTGCGTCTGGGTGATTTCGGAGTAGACGGTGGTGGGGAGGGCGCGGGTGCGGGTCTCGATGACGGTGCTGGGGATGAACCTGGTGGTGGTGACGACGGAGACCTCGATCCTCGGGTTGCAGGAGGCCACGGGGTTGTTGTTGGAGTCGGAGCTTGGGACTTCGTAGAGACCGGAAGGTTCCTGAGGAATGGTAGGGCCGATGTTCACATCGGGGAAGGGGTTGCTGGGGAGGTGGGGAGGCCGTAGCTGGAGGTGGGGGCTGGTGGGGGAGCGGGGGCCGGGGCGGGAATAGGGTTGGATGGCTGGAACTGGAGAAAAATAGAGAGAAATCGAACTCGTATTAATTGTTTATGTCTTACACAGTGCAATATTCTTAAGAAACATTAGAAAAATAATATCTTAATAGAAAAAAGTATATTTTTCGTTATATGCACATATGTATGCATGACTCATCTTTAAACATTGCTCGTGCCGTATAGGGCCTACCAATACACCTTAACAAGGCAAAACTGGAAGGAAAAAAAGGTCACACTACCTGTGGGACGCCGTAGCTCTGAGAAAGCCCGAAGAATTGTGGCTTAGCCTGGGTCAAAGCCACAAGCAACAGTACTGTGATAAAACGACGCATCCTGTGGAAAAATAAAAATATCCTTATTGTAACTGTCAATAGATTTATTAATGATGCTGATTATCGCTATTATCAATATCATGGCTAGTATCATTGATATCACCATTATCAGTTTTATCATTATTATTATTATTACTATTATCATTATCATTATTTTTACTATTATCATCATCATCATTATTATTACTATTATCATCCTTATCATTATCCTTCTCAATGCTATCATTATCGTCATCATGTTTACTATCACCACCATCAGTACTATCATTGACATTATCATCATCCTTATCATTATCCTCATCATTGCTACCATCCTGAAAATTATTATGACAAAGCATCATAGCGGAAAAGGCACATAATTTGCGTAATAGACAAAGTTATGTAAAAAAAAAAAATGCCCATAAATCGCACGACAGAATTAAAAAAAAAAAAAAAAAAAAAAAAAACATAAAACAAAAAAAAAAAAAAAAAAAAAAAAGCCCATAAATCGCACGACAAAAAAAAAAAAAAAAAAAAAAAAAATCCGCACATAACGTACATTTTATTATCATGCAGATATGTATAAATCAGCTGACATTCAGAACGAGAAAGGATTACAAGCTATATAGAAAAAAGGGGAAGAAAAAAAAATGAAAAAAATATATAATAAAAGTATGATGTTCCAGTAGAATGATGATGACGAATGGGGAATGAGGAAATCCGAATTAGTGAGACGAGTCGGGAAATGAGAGATCCGGAAAGAGGAAGAAGAGAGAGGTAGAGTAGGAAGAAGATGGGTGAAATAAAAAAAGAGAAAGAGGGATGACGTAAGGAAGGAGGAGGAAGAGGAGAGAGGTAAAGGAGTAGGAAGAAAGGGGGGAGATAAAGAAGGAGGAAGAGCAGAGGGAGGATAAGGAAGAAGGAAGAAGGGGGAGGGATAAGGAGGGAGAGTGGAGAGGTAAGGATGGAGGAAGAGGAAAGAAATAAGGAAGGGGAGAGACGAGGTGGGAGGAAGGAAAGGGGAAGAAGTGAGGAAGGAAGGGAAGGAGAGAAAACAGAATAGAAAGTAGAAATAAAGCAGGAAGGAAGAAGAGAGAGAAGGGGATAAGGAAAATAAGCAAGAAAGGATATGAAAAAGAAGAGAAAGAGAAGGGGGAAAAGAGATGAAAAAATGGAGAGAAGAGGAAAAATAGGAAGAAAACGAAAAAAACGAAATAAAAGAGAAGAGGGGAAAAAGCACAAAAAATAAAAAGAGAAAGAAAATACAAAAAATAAGAAAATAAGAGAAGTGAAAAAAATACAAAAAAGAAGAAAAGAGAAGCGAGAAAAAAATACGAAAAAAAGAGAAAGAAAATACAAGAAGATAAAGAGAAGAGAAAAGAGACGGAGAATAACAAAAGTGACAATAACGGCAGTCACTCAAAACCATGATATTCGCTCCAGTGAATGTGCTCTATACACGGTGATATAAGCATGGTTCAATACGTGTGCGATGCCACTATGGGAAGGGGTTCGTGTGCGTGAGGAGGGGGGGGAGGGAGGAAGAGGAGGGGGGAGGGGGGGAGGAGGAAGAGGAGGGGGAGGAGGGAGGGAGGGAGGAAGAGGAGGGAGGAGGGGGAGAAGGGGGAAGGAGAGAGGAAGAGGAGGGGAGGAGGGAGGGAGGAAGAGGACGGGGGAGGAGGGAAGGAGGAAGAGGAGGGGGAGGAGGGAGGGAGGAAGAGGAAGGGGGGGTAGGGAGGAGGGAGGAAATAGGAGGGGAGGAGGGGTAGAGAGAGAGGAAGAGTAGGGAGAGAGGAAGAGGAGGGGGAGGAGGGAGGGAGGAAGAGGAGGGGGAGGAGGGAGAGAGGAAGAGGAGGAGGAGGAGGGAGGGAGGAAGAGGAGGAGGAGGAGGGAAGAGGAGGGGGAGGAGGGAGGAAGAGGAGGCGTAGGGAGGGAGGAAGAGGAGGGGGTAGGGAGAGAGAGGAGGGAGAGAGGAAGAGGAGGGGGAGTATGGAGGGAGGAATAGGAGGGGGATAAAGAGAGAGGAAGAGTAGAGGAGGAGGGGGTAAGGAAAGGGGATATGGGGAGAGGAGGGGGTAGGGAGGGAGGAAGAGGAGAGAGATATAGAGAGAGAGGAACAGTAGGGGAGGAGAGGGATAGAGAGAGAGAGGGGGGGGGAGAGGAGGGGTTGGGAGGGAGGGAGAGGGGAGAGGAGGGGGTAAGTTGAGAGGAAAAGAGGAGAGGAAGGTAGGATAGGGAGAGAAGAAGGGGTGGAGAAAGAGGGAGGTAGGGAGAGAGGAGGGGGATGGGAGAAGGGGTTGGAAGATATAATTTTTGTAAAAAGTACGATGAAAATGCATTTTTTTCGGTACTTTCTTTTTCAGAATGAGAGAAAAAAAATCGTGTTACGTATATTAATATAAATCTACAGATGTGTAAGTGTGTGTGTGTGTGTGTGTGTGTGTGTGTGTGTGTGTGTGTGTGTGTGTGTGTGTGTGTGTGTGTGTGTGTGTGTGTGTGTGTGTGTACGTAATATGAGCGCATGTGTAAAAAAAAAAAGTTTTATTACGTATTTAGGCATCAACGTAAATGATGGATGTAAACTATGTCAATATGTGTGTATATATTTTCTTTCCATCTATGTTCTTGTCATGTCTAAAAGTATACATATATACGTACACAAATCTACCTAATAGCGAATCTCTCCATAAAACAAACAAAACACAACCTTTCTACTCCACAAAGACGCCCACGCAGCATGTGTTTCACTCCATGTAACTCCACATAATAACACTTATTTAACTCAGATTCAACTCAGATTAATCTCTGAGTCCAACCGTTACTTTCAGGGCTAGAGTGAGGAAGATGAGTACGGTCTGTTCAGTGACTCAGCATTCGTGCTTGACTCACGCGCAGCCATATACACTGTTGACATGGCGAAGGTAGGGGGAGGGGAGGGGGAAGGGGGGGGGGAGGAAGAGGGAGGGGAAACAAGCTATAATTTTGTAAATCAGTAGTTGTATCGTTGCCGCTCGAGTGGGGGGGTTTTCTATGGGGGGGGGAGGGGAGGGAGGATGGGAAGGGGAAGTGGGGAGGGAGGGGGAGGGAGGAGAGGAAGGGGAAGAGGGGGGAAAGAGGGAGAGAGGGGGGGGAAAGGGGGAAGGGAAGGGGAGGGGGAGGATGGGAAGGGGTGGGATGGGAAGGGAAGGGAGGGGGGGGAGGGAAAGGGGAAGGGGGAGGGGAGGGAGGAAAGGGAGGGAGGAGGGGGGGGAAAGGGGGAAAGTGGGGGAGAAAGAGGGGAGGAGGGAGAAGGGGTTTTGGAAAGTGGAAAAAGGAGATAAGGGATGGAAAGGCGAAAGAGGATGCAAAGGGAACAGATAAGGCAGAAGAGAAGGAGACGAAGGAAGTGAGGAGAGGAGGCGAAGAAAGGGAAGAAGGTAAAGAGAGGAGGATGAGGAGAGAGAGAGGAGGGACTAAAATATTTCAGAAAGAGAGAGAGAGAGAGAGAGAGAGAGAGAGGAGAGAGAGAAGAGAGAGAGAGAGAGAGAGAGAGAGAGAGAGAGAGAGAGAGAGAGAGAGAGAGAGAGAGAGAGAGAGAGAGAGAGAGAGAGAGAGAGAGAGAGAGAGAGAGACAGACAGAGACAGAGAGAGAGACAGACAGAGAGAGAGAGAGAGAGAAAGGAGACGCTTCTGATAGCTATAAACACAACCCTTATTGTGTGACCGAGAGAGGGTAAATGATGCGTACCATCTATTGCAACATCTATCTACAACAGAATTAATATTGCAGAGCACCAAATATCATTGCAACACACGAAAGAGTAACAAAATTAGCATTTTTTGAACTTCCTCACACTCTCATACTTAGCGGTTTCAGCTAAAATGTCTTGCACTCATTCTTGTGTAACGTAAGTAGCAAAAATACGTTCGTCAACAGAAAATGGAATATGAGAGAATATTAAGAAAAGGTTCTGTGTAGTTACACCTTAATATTTCCTGCAAAAGTCGCACGTGTGTGTGTGTGTTTATGTATGTATGTATGTGTGCAATGTATGTATGTGCATGTGTATGTATGTGTATGTGTATGTATGTGTAAGTGTATGTCTATGTATGTGTATTTATGTATGTGTGTGTATGTATCGTATTTGCCTATGTATGTATGTGGGCGTGTTTGTGGTTGTGTGTGTGTGTGTGTGTGTGTGTGTGTGTGTGTGTGTGTGTGTGTGTGTGTGTGTGTGTGTGTGTGTTGTGGTGTGTGTGTGTGTGTGTGTATGTGTGTGTGTGTGTGGGTGTGTATGTGTGTGTGTGTGCGTGCGTGTGCATGGTTTCTTCCGTCTGCATGCGAGCGCGTCCTTGACAAGCATGTCCGCCGTTCAACGCAGACATATATTCCGCTTTAACGGTCTGTGACGACAACCTACACCGCCGAAGGGACATAATTGCCGTTAAGGGAAACATCAAAATACTTTCTCTCCAAGAAACCGGTTTTTCGAACGGCCGTAGACAAAACCCTTCGCAGGTAACGGCCGTTCGCAGGTTAATCACCAAGACTACAGGTCAAATTGCGTTGGGATACTATCGAAAAGTCCCTTTCACTTTCACCATAGGGGGATGGGGCAGTCACGACGCCGCTCCAGACGTCACAATACGGCCGTGACGTCACAGGTAATCTCTGGTTCGATTGGCGGGAAGGGGTATTACGTCACGCCCCAGCGCGCACGGGGATTGGTCGAGAAGCAGACCGGGCGGGACAATGAGCCATTCATAAAAAAAACGTGAATGGGGGGCATGGGCTATGGGAGTTTCAGAGGGTATTTTTAGACCTCGCCTTACCTCCACCCATCCGTGACCTTTTCAGATCCCCCCCTTTTTTTTTTTGTTTTTTTTTTTTTAGAAAGTGGTGATGCTCGGTTCCGTAGGAGTTTAATAGGGGTCTAATAGCACTGCGAGAGACGCCCTTTTCACCTCGTAAAGTAGAGAAAGGATATCTTGGTCTCGTGTTTGGCTAAGTGTGGCTGGGAGTTGTTTACGATTTCTTGAGTATAAATGCCTATTCAATAAGTGGAACGCACCGACCACACAATGGTTACACGTCAAGCGAACATGTAAGAATATTTAGTAACAGGAACACATAAATAGGTTTGTAGATCTTTCGTGCAAGCAAAGTATCTAATTTTCTAAAAAAATACACTTTTTATCTATCTTTCATACTATGCTAAGCAGAATTTTGACACATCTACGGATATGCAAAAATAGGATTCTTAAAAAATACCCATGCAAAAACATTAGCACATTCACATATAAATGCAAAAAATACACGATTTCAACCAAAAAAAAAAAAAAAAAAAAAAAAAAAAAAAAATATATATATATATATATTAATTATATATATATATATATATATATCACATTACGAAAACGAACTTAAGAGAGACAACAACGACTTTGGGAGTTAACACGGCACACTTGGAGATGTCTTGGACTACCATAGAAGATGAGTGAAGGTGACTCGAGCAGATCGCAGGCCGAATGTGACGTCTGTTGGAGCGCGAGGGAAATGAGCATCGTTACCATGACAACGAGACGCGACTTACAACAAGAGGGAAAAGAAGGAAAGAAAGAAAGAAAGAAAATGTCATCTTAACGGGAGATTTCCTTGTCGGTTCTCGTCTATATATTTTTTTTACAGTCAGAATTTTGATTTTTTTTTTTCTTTTTTTATATTCTTGTTACTTAATTCTCGAGGTTGAGGAATCGAGTCAGTGAATGTGAATATGTTACTGGAATTTCGACATGAGGAAGTGTCTGTGTGTAGGCCTTTCTGTCTGTCTGTGTCTGACTGTATGTTCGTCTGACTGACTGACTGACTGACTGACTTACTGACCGACTGACTTAAGGTGCTGTCACACTAGCACTTTTTCCGTCAATTTTTTGACAATTTTATTTAACATAAATACAAACATTCTCGAATATATCTCTTGATTTGAGTATGCTTGGCTGAAAAAGTTGACGGAAAGATCATTATTGTCTGACTGGAAAATCGACAATTCGCTCAAAAATGGACAAAATTTCTGAAAATTGTAAAAAAAAAAAAAAAAAATTGACGGAAAAAGTGTGTGACAATACCTTTACTGACTGACTTACTGATTGAACGACTTACTGACTGACTGACCGACCGACTGACTGACCGACAGACATTTCGCAACCTATCTCATTTCCTCCTCTCCTCCCTTTACTTTCTTTCTTTCCGCTAAACCTCGAAGCCTCAAACCCGACAACAGAATCTCCGAAAAAAAAAAAAAAATCGAGAGAAGTAGCGAAAGTCACATGATCTATTGTGCTCTGACGCTCTGCATGACGGAGAAATGACTGCATGACGCTCTGCTGGCTGCGGCATTCGGTCGAAATTCTCCAGCGATTTTTTTAGATCTTTCTTTCTTTCTTGTCTTTTTTATGTATATATGTTATTGCTGATTTTTTATTATTATATTATTATCTTTCTTTCTTTTTTATGTATATATGTTATTGCTGATTTTTTTTATTATTATTATTATTTTTTTATCTTTCTTTCTTGTCTTTTTTATGTATATATGTTATTGCTGATTTTTTTTTTTTTTTTTTTTTTTGTCGGTTATGATTGCATGGGAGGAATCTAAGTTGCATGACAGGCCGCATGACCTAAGTAACAGCGATGATTCTGAGGTTTATAATGGCACTTATGCGTCTCTGCCTCAAGGGAGAAATTGCAAAAAAAGAAAAAAAGTGAGGAAGAGGGATGGAGGGAAGGAAGGAAGAAGAGAGAGGGAGAGAGAAAGGGAAGAAAGGGAGGTAAGGAGAGGAGGGGAGAGAGGAAGGAAGGAAGGGAGGAGATAAGGTGGGAAGGAAAGGAGGGAAAGGGGAGAGAGGAGGAAAGGAAGATAAAAGGCAAGAAGGGAAGGAGGGTAGAAAGGGGGGAGGAGAGAGGAAGAGTGGGAGGGAAGGGAAAAAGAGAGGAAGGAAAAGGGGGGAGAAAGGAACGGGAGAGAGGGAAGAAAGGAGAGAGGGAGAGATGAATAGAAGGGAGGGAGGAAGGGACCAAATTGGGAAGAACTGAAAGAAGAGCGGAAGGAAGTGAGAGAGAGCGAGAGAAACAGAGACAGCGCGAGAGTATTCATGAAACGGCGCTAAAGTTGTCAACGAGAGAGAGCTGAACGTACGGTAGCGCGAGCAAGCGAGCGAACGAGAACCGGAGAGAGAAGATGAATAAGAAGAGAGAAGAAAAAGAGAAACGGAGAGAGAGAAAAATGGAGATATGAAAGCGGAAGAAAAAGGGAAACGGAGAGAGAGAAAAATGGAGACATGAAAGCGGAAGAAAAAGGGAAACGGAGAGAGAGAAAAATGGAGACATGAAAGCGGAAGAAAATGACAACGAATGAGAACCATATATAACCAAAGAAAAATATATATACCAGCTTCTGCTAAAAACACCGAAAGAGATAACTACTTGTTTCCTGTTGAAATCTCCGTCTATTTCTCCCTCACTCTTCTGAATTCGAAATCAAAATATAAACACCAACCTTCGAAACATTAACGAGACCAAAAAAATATATATTTTCGATAAAAAGCAAAAGCGGAAAATGGAAAAGAAAAAAATAACGAAAACAAGAGTAAACGCGAAATCAAAAGCGTTATCTCATTACACCGTTCATGTAATTCGGACGACTTTCTCTCTCTCTCTCTTTCTCTCTCTCTTTCCGTCTCTCTCAACTTGGTAATTTATCAATGATTATTCTCCAATTCGTTGTCTTCCCCTAGTCATTAATATCTCGAAATATGACACCAAGTGAACCCGCGCCAAGAGAGGTTTTGTGCCGCGAGATGAGGCGTTTTGGCGGTTTGTGACGTCACTGGCACCCGTTCGTGGATACAGTTTAGAAAAACGCTGAAATAAAGGAG